ATGTATATAGATAAAAAGAGAATTAGAAAGAAATATTTGACTGTCTGCCTGTCTGTCTCTTTGTCTGTCTGTCAGTTTGCCTATCTACTCATTTGTCTGTCTGTTTGTTTGTCTGTATGTCTGTCTGTCTGTCTGTCTCTCTCTCTCTCTCTCTCTCTATATATATATATATATATATATATATATATATATATTTATCTATCTATCTATCTCTATCTATCTATATATCTATCTCTCTCTATCTCTATCTGTCTATCTATTTATGTATATACAATTATATATTATATATATATATATATACATACATGTATATGTATATGTATATATATTATATTATTCTTTCAATATACATATTATCATAAGGTCCCGTGTGCAAGTTGCGCATGTTAAAGATCCATTGGTGGCCTAAAATCGATAAGAGTAGGCTTTCGTACTACCTGGGCAAAGTTCAAAATGTCCTACCAACTGAAAATGGTTGATATGTCCTGCGCGATCATATGACCTTTTGCAGTTGTGAGCGCCGTAAAACACTTACCCCCCTCACACAAAAAATTTATCTTTTTCATCGAGCAGGATATGTTGGATTCCTCATCATGGTAGTCTGCGCTCTCGTCTCGGCCTACACGGGCGACATACTGGCCAAGTGTTGGCTCACAGTGCAGGACCGTTATGACGAATACAAAGGTCACATCCGGTATCCTTACCCCGCCATTGGACAGGTCACTTATGGAAAGTTTGGCCGGTAAATGAACTTCTAGAAATATCTTTAGCATTCTGTTGAAAGTTTCTGTGACAAACTGTTTATATTATCCCTTAGTGGTGCCCGGAGGTTCTGGTCTCGTGGTCGATAGAAAGACAAACCAACAACAGACAAGACAGACAGACAGACAGACAGACAGAGAGACAGACAGACAGACAGACAGACAGACAGACAGACAGAGAAACATAAAGGCAGACAGACAGACAAGCATGAACACAGACAGACAGACAGACAGACAGACAGACAGACAGACAGACAGACAGACAGACAGACAGACAGACAGATAGGAAGACAGACAGACAGACAGATAGACAGATAGATAGATAGATAGATAGATAGATAGATAGATAGATAGATAGATAGATAGATAGATAGATAGATACTCACACACACACACACACACACACACACATACATTCACACACACACACACACACACACACACACACACACACACACACACACACACACACACACACAACAAAGCACACTGAGGTAAAGAGACTGAAAAACGAGAAATAAAGAGAGGGTTTGAGGAGAAGAAGAGAGAGAGAGAGAGAGAGAGAGAGAGAGAGAGAGAGAGAGAGAGAGAGAGAGAGAGAGAGAGAGAGAGAGAGAGAGGGGTGAGTTATTAATCATAATACTAAATAGCTTTTATACTACGCATTTCCATTTTCTATCAAACGCTAAATGTGCATTACATAAAAAGACATCACATCTTAAAAAGTAATCGACAAGTGTGTACATAAAACACAGTATTATGCATAAGGTATAATATTTTATGTATATGTCTAAAAATCTCTATGAGAAAAACAGTCTCGTTGTGAATTGGCAATGAGTTCACTAAAAAATATAGAATGCAATAAAAATTCACGAACGGTTACAATGAAAATGACAGCTGAAAAACTAGAAACATTCATTAAGACATTGAAATTCGTTCTTTATAAATAGAAAAACAATTCCGCTCTCTCTTTCTCTCTCTCTCTCTCTCTCTCTCTCTCTCTCTCTCTCTCTCTCTCTCTCTCTTCTCTCTCTCTCTCTCTCTCTCTCTCTCTCTCTCTCTCTCTCTCTCTCTCCCTCTCTCTCTCTCTCTCTCACACGCTATTTCTTCAGTCTCACAGTCTGACATACACATGCATATATAACTGTTCATCATAAAGGCAGGTATGCATTTGTGAATAAGAAATGCTTCAGTTGTTTTCTGAAAATGTAAAGTATTGGGGCGCATCTTACTTTATATGGGAGTTCGTTCAACACCTGGGGACCACGAACAAAAAGGAACGCTCGCCGTATGTTTTGTAATTTTGTTTTGGAGTTTTAAGAATTAGATTGCCAGAGGCTGGTGTAAGGGTTCTGGATGGATGATAAAATTCCAGGAATTTTTAAAGATAAACAGGCGCAGTATCATTTATACATTTAGAACAGAAACCAGCCGTTTTGTATTTGATCCTTTCTTTTACTGGATACCAGCGTAGTTCTTTCAGAATTGGTGTTACGTGCGCAGGGATCATGAAGAAAAGAAAGAAAGAAAAATGGAAAGAAAGAATTTTAAAAAGAAATTTGCTCACAAAGAAAGAAAGAGAGAGAACGTGAGAAAGACAAAGAGAAAGACAGACGGAAAGAGAGACAGGGCTGAGTGGGGGGGGGGGAAGGGGGGGGGGAAGTTGGAGAAGGAGTGGAAATAAAGATTGAAACAGAAGAGGGGAGAGAGTGAAAGAGAGGCAGAGAGAGAGAGGGAGAGGCAGAGAGAGAGAGAGAGAGAGAGAGAGAGAGAGAGAGAGAGAGAGAGAGAGAGAGAGAGAATGAGAAAGGTTAAGAAATAACAGAATAAGAAATATCTAAACAGAAAAAGGGAGAAAGAGAGAGAAAAGGGGGAAGTAATGAGTCAATCTGTTTTTTAAATTGTATCTTAATAAAATGCCCATTGTTGTTGAGCGTTAACGTCATGCCTTGACAATAATTCTACTGGCATGAGCCAGATGGGCCGTGTTGCAGAATGATTAAAATGGCAGAAAAAAAACATGAGCACATTAAAAATGTAGTAGCACAAAATAAGATAATAATCTTTAATTGTGTCATTATGGGTACCGAGGCATGCCCCTGACTTTGGGAGTCTGCCACCATGATGCATTTAAAAGAGATTTGCCTTGCCAGCTGGCTATCATTGAAATGAATCTTTGCTTTTATTGCTTTTCACACGGGCACTAACAAACAACAACAACAACAACAACAACAACAACAACAACAACAACAACGACTATAACAGGAAATCCAGCAGATATAAATCCGTTGTGTTTTTTTACACATGCCATTCTATCGTTCATAAATGAAAGGAATGATCGGTGCATGAACATCAACTGAAAGTCATTGGCCTACTATATTTTTATACTCTACTTGAGGGGGCTCTCGTGGTCTAGAGGTTAAGGTGTTGACCTCTCATTCAAAGGTCCCGGGTTCGAATCCGGGTAGCGACCGAAAAATTTTCTTCTCTAAAAGTGTCTCCTTTCACCACCTTTCCTGCTATCTAGCAAATTTCTGTTGTCTGCTTTCATTTCCACTTTCTGCCCCCTCCCCCTCACCTCCTTTGCCTCCCTCCTCTGGGCTCCTGACTCTTTCTGCAGCCTTTCTACTGCTACTCCTTGGCTCCTCCTTACTGCTGTCTTTCTGCCACACCCCTGATCTGCTGGTAGGAAAGATCTACATCTAGACGTCTCGGACAAGGGTGAAAAATCTCGGAGGGCCCGTGTGCAAGTTGTGCACGTTAAAGATCCCTTGGTGGTCTAAAATCGATAAGAGTAGGCTTCGGCCGCCACCCGGGCAAAATTCAAAATTTCCTACCAACTGAAAATATTAGGTGTGTCCCGCGCGCTCATATGACCTTATGCAGTTGCGAGCGCCGTAAAACACTTTACAAAAAATTCCCCCCAAAAAACATACTCTACTGGAAAGGAGCAATAAAGAAAGATCTAAAAAATCAGAAGGTCTTGATCGACACTCTCAATACAAAATGCACCTGTCGAAATATCCCCTCCGGCACTTCCGCTGTGAAGAAAGCTAGATTTACGCAGATTTGTTTCGTTTATCAGTGGACTAATCACAAAAGACAAAGAAGGGCGGGAACTTTTTGTTTAATATATGTTTTCTAAATTCAGGAAATGAATAAATCAAAAATCGGGCTCCGTCATGGGGATCCTATCTATCTTTTTGGAGGCACTTGCCAACTTTCAACTCTGCAGCTGTCGTAGTTTTATGTGAAAAGTGACTCATGTGTTTCTAAGTTGCCAAATATATAATAGATGTATAGAATGATTCTCTATTCCACTTTCGTGTTTGTACACATTGCGCACGACTAGTGAATGGAAGCCTCACTGGTTTACAATGGCGTTTTAGAAGACGGACTTTCCCAAGAATAGATCTAAACGAACTAATGAAAAACTGAAAATTAAACTACAGTGACTTCAGGCTCCTCAATAAAACTGTGCACCCTTTAAATGATTCTGAACCACCCATAATTCTGTCAAATTCAACAGTTAAGTGGTTCGGAAGTTTTAGGCGGCCAAAGTGACGAACTTTCACAAATATAATATGTAGAGATAGAGATGAAGGTGTTTTATACTCGTATCCACATGATTTACTTTATTTAGGAAGCGAACTTGGACCATGCCTGTCAGGGCCAGCTGGGGCTGAGAGGGAACGAACGTCCCATCAGAAAGACCAAGAAACTCGATACAATTTCTCCCTACACAAGATTCGAACTCAAGGGTTACACTATTTACAAGCGACAGTGTTTATGAATTCATTAATGCATTCATGCATTCATTGATGCTTTTATTCGTCAGTCTTTTTTGTATATACTGCGATTCATTTGTTCGGTGACTTAAGTATACCAAAGTAGCTAATAAACGACGACCGTTGAAGTCAACTTCGTGTCGCCTGGAGCAGCTGATTAAAATAAGGTGGCACGAGAAATCCTTCACACGAGTCAAAATTTGTATAGATTATATGAACGTATTTTGACTAATTAAAATACTTTTTGAGCAATTTGCACTTTATTTCATACTAACATCTTCAACGGTTCAAAAGTTTTTACAATTTGAATACATAGGGTAAGGAAAACTGGAAACGGAGAAAATTCCGTTTAAAGGTCATAGATGGCCATTTATTAGATTTACGGAAGTGGGTGAGAGTAAGAGAGAGAGAGAGAGAGAGAGAGAGAGAGAGAGAGAGAGAGAGAGAGAGAGAGAGAGAAAGAGAGAGAGAGAGGAGAAAGAAAGAGAGAGAGAAAGCGACAGAGAAACCGAGAGAGATACAGAGAGAGAGG